ATTAATTCTTTTTCTGCCCTTTGCAATAGTTGGTTCCTTCTTTCCATTAATTTTTTTTCTCTGTTTGGCTTGTTCTCATTTAATTTTACTCTTGGTCTCTGCGATATCATATCAGTGTACTGGATGGTTTTGCATTACATTTTCAGCTAAAGCTACTGTTCTTTACTTTTCTCAAGACCCATATTAATTTCAAATCATTGATGACTAAGTATAAAACAAATAGCAGCATTATCTAATTTAAGAAATGCCTGCAGAAATTAGAAGGTCAGGAGATTTTTTAAATTGTTACCCATTTTCAGAATACTTCTGAAAATGGGTAATGGCATATTCTACATTGTTATATAATTCACGTTTTCATGGTTCTCCCTTATAGCTAGTGGAAGTGGGATCTCTTTTTTTATTCTCTGTATTCAGTTTGAAAATTATCTCAGAAAATGTAGTAGGTTGTGTAAGCTTTGAAGGAAATTAATTTTATGCAAATTAGCATTATAATAGAAGTCAGTTTAAATTTCCGTCCACTTTATCCAGCACTACTTTGCTTTATGAAAAGCCATAATAATATATTCTGACTAGTAGTCTGTGTATTGTTTTAGCTTTAGTAGCATATAACTACGAGGTAGCCTTTTCATACGATAACATTTACATATGAGAAAAAAAGAGAATATATGAAAAAAAAAATCACAAGCATTAAACTATACGTGTATGCAGTGTTCTATTTCACTGCAATAGGTGCAATATAGGTATGGTGATTGGCATTGCTGCATAGTAGTCCCCACTTGTAATTGGCATAGAAGCCAATGAGGATATGCCTTTTCACAAAATGCAGTTCTTAACAAAGCAAATAGCTGACTCCTTCATTTACTAACGGAATTATACACTCACTGGCTACTTTATTAGGTACACCTGTTCAATTGCTTGGTAACACAAATTGCTAATCAGCCAATCACATGGCAGCAACTCAATGCATTTAGGCATCTAGAAGTGGTGAAGATGACTTGCTATAGTTCAAACCGAGCATCAGAATGGGGAGTAAAGGGGGTTTAAGTGACTTTGAACGTGGTATGGTTGTTTGTGCTAGATGGGCTGGTCTGAATATTTCAAAAACTGTTGACCTACTGGGATTTTCACACACAACCATCTTTAGGGTTTACAGAGAATGGTTCGAAAAAGAGAAAATATCCAGTGAGCAGCAGTTGAATGGATGAAAAAGAATGTTGATATCAAAGGTCAGAGGATAATGGGCAGACTGGTTCAGCTGCAACATTCAAATGATAGGGTCAGAATTTGGAGTAAACAACAGGAAAGTCTGTATCCATTCTGACTTGTATCAACGGTTCAGGTTCGTGGTGGTAGTGTAATGGTATAGAGAATATTTTCTTGGCACTAGCAAGGTGTACCTAATAAAGTGGCCGGTGGGTGTATACTGTAACTCTACTCTATACAATGCTTAGGCATCTGTAGATTCTCTTTATCATTAAGTTAGACTAGACATGTAAAAATATAGGTTGCAAAGGGTGTCAAGTTCTAAAGTATTTAAAGGGCTATTACAGAATTCACCTACTGATTCCATCTTCAATATATATGGGAAGTGGTAAATTGAGACAAGCAGTGAAAGGTTGAAATTGCCTCTTGTTTAGAGCACATGTGATACATTTTGGGTGGAGTGAAGGATGCTCTGTCACCTTCCTCAGCCTGTTTCCTGAGATTTATTTCCTACATCCTTGTAGATGACACAAAAGGCCTAAATCTATGACATTAACCTGGAAAGCAAAGAGTGTCACCCTCAGCGTGACACCCATTCCTCTTAGCTATCCATTTTCAAAACACTATTGTTTTTGTAATTTTTTTTTCATGTGAATTGCTTTGCAAGTTTTTTAAGTTGAAATCATGTCATGAAGTCATATCTGTACCGTTCTTGAAAAATGTCAAAAGATCAGCGAATAACTATGGAAACAAGACCATATTTGTTTGTGTTATATAACAGCTCCAAGACTAAAAGTCCAAAAGAAACATACAAGAAAAACTGAATTCACATTTTAATTTAATTCAATATAATTGTATTCATTTTAATTTAATTTAAAGAAACAAAAGCATGTTTGTAGACCTTAATGACACACTGTACTTGACAATGACCACACTGACCACATTTTTATCCAAGCTTCAGATTTCCCCATTCTATGTACTTCTGCCTATTTACCATCTCTTTCTAATGACTCCAACAAGTTGTTGGTGTTTCTATGTCATGTATTGACATACTATCAAGTTCTTTCCCTGTTCCAAAGTTGGTAAAGACAATTCATACTAGAGTTTAGCAGAACAGTTTAGCAACTAAGTTTAGAGATATATCTTAAAGTGTTACTAAATCCAGGACCCTGCATTCACTATATCTGGCCTCCCACAGTATTCAGAACATAGAAATACAATTATTTTTGTAAATATAAACTGATAAATACCTTTTCTCATCAGCAGTTAGAGCAGTCTTGTGATTTCTATCAGTGTCCAGCAGAGCACTGGTTAATGCTTGTAGGAGGAGTTTTCATTCTCCCTGATTGTCCTATGAGGCTGCATAACCCCTGGCCCTCTGTCTGGACAGCGCTGATTGGGCCTGTGCTGATCACATGCACTCTCCCAAGAAAAAAACTCTCTAGAAATACACACCAAACTGAGCATGTGCAGCTTGCCCCTAAGGCTCTGTTCTATCAGCAGATGGATTGGGGATAGTAGAAGAAGGGGAGGATCAGAGAAGACAGGATCAAATATCCTTTTTACACAATGCAGAGGGTTAACCCCTTAGGTTCCACAGTGAAAATAACCAGCACACTTTACTGCATATACAGACTGATTTTACTGTGGGTGTAGTAACAGTTTAATGCGATTTTATAGTTTTACCTTTCCCTGTTATTTTTCTAACAAATGTTAACCTTGTGTTGTCTGTGGATGTGGCATCAAATCCATCACATTTGAAAACAAATTTGTTACATTTTGCTATGTTATTAAGAAACGGTGCGTTAAGCAGCTGACAGATTACATTATACGACTGCAGACAGTTTGATAGCTGGTTCCAACCATCAGTTCACTTGATTTAAAGAGTATGCAGCCAGCATAAAGAAAAGAATCTGAGAAGATTTGCATCCTAAATAGTTTGGAAAAAATCTCAACAATTGTGTCCATTTAACTGTGTGCCATTTAGAGATGTACTGTATCTATTACAAGGCTGTTATATGGGTGGAATTTGTATATAATGTCACAAAACAACACACAATGCTTTTTTTTTAGTGTACCATTGGTCCAATAAAAACAAAACCTGTACAGTTTAAAGGCTTGTGTAGATGGACATGTGCAGCATGAATTCTGCTGCATTTAGCCTAGATTTGAGGACAATTTGAGATCCTTTTAAGTTCCTTCATGGATGTTTATGATCCTGTTCTGGCCTGCATTTGATTTTCTTTTAACAATTTCTATTTACTTGAATGGGGAGAAGAGCAGTCATGAACTAGAGCAGTGAGCTTGACAGATTTTCTAGAAAGTTACAGCCTGATTAATAAACTGCCCCCGCAGCAGTACCACAGAATGAAACCTGACCCTGACCAATTCTTAATTGCCCGTCTGTTTAGAGTAAAAAAAAATATTTTAAGCAACAAATCTGTCATATTTATGCAAATCAATTGGCCATATACTGTAGGTTTATAGGCACATAGGTTACAAATACACAGGAAAATTGTTACATGAAAAAAGGCAGACTGATTTGCTTATACCAGGGTTGCTAGTTGGCTTGGTAAATGTTCCCCCACTGTGCACTTTGAAAAGTTCAGTGTGCATCCAAAATGTGCTTCCTTTTGGCTCGTGTGTGTTTAAGTCCTACTAGCTTAAGCACACAAGCAAGGACTTAAAGGATCAGTTCACCTTTTATAACATGTTACATCCATATTCAGGGTGTAACAGTAATGAAAGCACTGCCCCTCCCCCCGCCAAACCCTCACTTTGAAAGCTAGCAGGGGATATTCTCTCCCCCTTGCTAGCTGTCATATAGTGACTGATGGCTTATAGTTCTCATTGAACTACCACGATGCTGTGAAGCTCCGTGGTAGTTCATTGAATCTTCCTGCCAGTATACTGTATCTGCTTGCTCGTACATCCTGAACAGGCAAGCAGATATACTGACAGATCTGCAGGAGACCTGCATGGCACCAGTGATCTGCTGACCACTGGTGCAATGCTTTACTGACTCTTGCAGCAAAAAATAATAAATGCACATTTTTGTACCTGCACAAAAAAATTGTTTCATGTACAGAAATGAAGAAACAAAAGCTGCTGGTGTGAGGAATCATGTTGAACAACAGAACTGCATCCAGGTCAGGCATAGAGCAGGAAACAGGAGGTATAAGTCACTGCAATATTACCATATGCAAGTAGAGTCACAGTATTTGCATAATAACTCTATAACAAAAATGTGCATTTAATATGTTTTATCAAAATACAGTAAGTACATTTTTAAGCAATAGTTTAAGGCCTGGTTCACACTAGCATGATTTCAGATTTCACTTGAGTCACACAGAATCACATGAAAATGGAAATCACATTGTTTTCAATCATATCAATGTGACTCAGCATAGAGCTATTTTGGAAAAAATTCCTGTACTACTTTCAATTCCATCATGATTTTGGCTCCATAGAATATGCAAACCACTTTCAAGTAGCATCCAAGTAATGTCCAAGTAGCATGCAAGTAGCATTCAAATAACACTATATAATCACACTGAAAGTCAGATCAAAATTGATTCCTGGCTTTAACTGCTTTCCTTCCGCCCTATAGCAGACATACTGCTACAGGGTGGCAGTGGTGTGCAAAATTACTTATATATACGTGATTTGCATTTCCGGGTAGGGGGCGCGCACGCGCCCTACCTGAGCTGCTATTTGCAGCCTCAGCTGTCAATCACCGGGTCCTGGCTGGTGATTACTCGCTGGCACCTGATGTTCACCAAGCATTACCGATGGAGGGAGAGAACTGTATGTAAACAATACAGTTCTCTCCCTTGCCAGCTCCAGCACACTGCTTTGTATGGCTCTGCATAACAGAACAATGCAAAGCAGTGTGCTTACAGTTGAAAGCACACACACAGCTTACTGTGGAACAGCACACAGCACACAGTTAACCCTTTGATTGCCCCACATGTTAACCCCTTTCTGCCCAGTGCCATTAGTACAGTGTCGGTGCTTTTTATTAGCACTGATCACTGTATTAGTGTCACTGGGGATTTCACTGACACCAATTCAGTTCCCCCCAGTGTCAGAATGCCCGTCACAGTCCTGCTATAAGTCGCTGATTGCTGCCATTACTAGTATTAATAAAAAAATTCCAGTATATATACCGCCATTTGTAAACTCTATAACTTTCATGTAAACCAATAACTTTACACGTATTGGGTTTTTTTTTTATAGAAAAGACATGTAGCAGAATACATTTTGGCCTAAATTTATGATGAAATTTGATTTTTAAAAATTGTTTTCTGGACATGTTTAATAGCAAAAAGTAAAAAAAAATTTTTCTCAAAATTGTCGGTCTATTTTTTTTTAAAGAGCAAAAAATAAAAAATGCACAGACAATCAAATACCACCAAAAGAAAGCTCTATTCATGGGTAAAAAAAAGGACATAAATTTCATTTGGGTTCAGTGTTGCATGACCACGCAATTGTCAGTTAAAATAACACAGTGCCGTAACGCAAAAAATGGCCTGGTCAGGAAGAGGGGTAAATCCTCAATAGGGCAAGTGGTTAAAGTGGACCATGCATCAAAATTCAAGGCCCACTTATTCATTAATGCCCCAGCACCCATGTAAACACTCTGCATTACATGTTTAAAAACACATCTGTAGTATATGAAGTGAAGAAGTATATGAAAAGATGATTTTACAGGCCTCCTGGCGGCAACAAGATTCTGTGAATGGCAAGGATTCCAAAATCATGTGAGAGAATACTCCGGTGCTGTGCAGTCAGAACCACTTTAAGGTCATGACTATTCTTTAAAATATTCTTATGTATTGAAGACAAATGACAAACATCAAATAATCAATAGAAATGCTTAAATTAGTGAAAGCCTCTTGATATGTTTGAATTTGGAAAGCTTATGGCTACTGAAATTGTTTAGGCAGAGGTACATTAACACAATTTTCTCCTATTACAGGCATTATCATGGTGCAAAAAGTTGATTTTTACATCTGAAATCTTTAATCTTGACACAAAAATTATTTTAATAATCAGATATGTTTCTCTCTTTATGGATTTTGCTAGTTGCTTAAAATGTAATACATATCGGAGCTTCAATTTAAAAAAAAAAAAAAAATAGCTTAAATGGTGGCAAGTACACAGAACATACCTATGCATTTCTTAAATACACACAGGTTTCAACTTAACTACATATCTGTTTTAACTATATACAATATATATACAACACAATAGTTTCATAGTTTGCCTTTAGTCATAATCCCACAAAACACCCTCCATGCAGTTTTGAAGACTAAGTGAGACAAATGGCAGCTGTACGGTTCATCTATACAAGCTTAGTGCCCCACTGTGAACTACGTCTGCTTCAATAGCAAATCAAATTAATGTTAGGCGAAGAACACATAGGATCATAGATAATGGAGAACCTACAGGATGCAGTTTCAAATAAGTCAGGACAAATAGATATATCATGATCTGTTATGTGTGTGATGAAGTGCCGCTGAGCAGTTTTGAATGTACTCATTATAGATGAATAGGGTAGACTAAAGTGTTATTGATAATAGCAGTTGAAATCTTACATATGATTTAGCCTCATAGTGACAATATAGGCTTGGCTAGAAGTTGATGTACTAATAAAGACTTGTTCTAAAGTCAAGATCATGGGGATTCTCTGCATGCCATATTGTCTTGGGTTGACTGCTGCTGTTACAAGAATTAGACCCTGATTATAACACAGCCCCTATCTGATCATCACATTCAAAGGTAGAATTGTTGCAAACAGTTGTGGAACCATAGAAAAATTGGATTTTATTTCGGACCACCAGATGAGCTCTTTTTTATCTGGCAGACAAGTTCAAATATTCCTATAAATGGTTGTTGTATAATGGGAGATTTCTGATGACCTTCACTACATTAATAATGGTCTCCTAAAATTGTCTTCTACAGCACACATCAGTTCAGTAAATATGCATATTTCAAAAAGATATACATAATGTTTAAGGTATCTACTTACCAACCAGCATATGCATACATTCCAGAATTAAAAGCCAAGGGTAGTCCCATAACACTGACATCCTTTCCAACAAAAGCATCTTTGAAATTCTGAGTCTCACCTGAAAAAGACAGGTTTTTATTGACATGCAATAATCTAGTTTGTCATTCATTACAGTTTACATGGAAGTGTTTAATGTTTAAAATATTGCACGGGTCAATTTTAGAGATGTACCTGTCAAGTACTATATTAGGAAATGCCCATCTACTGTTACACATACCAGCCATCAATGTATAAATAGTATATATATGAGTACAGATAAATGCACCTCATAGAATATCAAGGAAATGTGCCAAAAAGAGGTGTAATTAAAAGTAATATCTGATCATTCTGTCAAATATATCTTTTTTTTTGCAGAGAAAATGTGTCAATCCAGACATGTTATTCACCATTTACTGACTCAAAACAAGTAATGTTGTAAGAGGTCATGTTTTTAATTAAATCATATCTAAACCAATAGAAAAAAAAATCAATCTTTGCAGTCAACCAATAAAATAAATAGAAACAAACACCAGTTGCAACAGAGTGGATCACAACATTCCCTGTATCAATAGCAATATTGCATCAATAGTGAAGAGCAACCATCAATATTGTACATAACATTCAACACCAAGGGTGGACTGATCATTCGGGCACTCAGGCACTGCCCCAGGGCCCGGGACCAGTAGGGGGCCCCATAAGAGGATCCTGGTACCGTTCATAGTTGTGCACACGGGATGTGCTTGATGTGCCTGGGCACACCCCAATCACCCCACGTGCATTAAAGTGGTTGCAAACCAGATGAGGGCTGGAGGCTTCATCTGAGGGAATGGAAGGGGGGACATGACTGGGATAATGTTAAAGTGGTTGTAAACCCCAAAAAATCAACATTGAAATGACCAGTCTACCTCATGCAGCACAGCAGCAGAAGTCACCTGTCCCCAGTTTGGCCAGGAAAGGAGCAGCCAGTCATCTGAAATCCTCTCTGCTATTCTACAGTGAAAAAACCCACCACAACCCCTCTCCTGTGACTGACAAACTAATTAGGGGTCTCATGCATGAACATGAGAGAAGAGGACTTGTGTGTCCCTATTTCAGATGACTGATTGCTTCTTTCCTGGCCAAACTGGGGACAGAAGACTTCTGCTGCTGTGCTGCGTGAAGTAGACTGGTCGTTTCAATTTAGATTTTTTTTGGGTTTACAAACACTTTAACATTATCCCAGTCATGTCCCCCCCTTCCATTCCCTCAGATCAAGCCTCCAGCCCTCATCTGGTTTACAACCACTTTAATGCACGTTGGGTAATTGGGGTGTGCCCAGGCACATCCAGCACATCCCATGCGTACAACTATGAAAGGTACCAGCAGCTCTCATGGGGCCCCCTACCTACCCCTGCGACAGTGCCTGAGTGCCCGAATGGTCATGTCCCCCCTTCCATTCCCTCAGATGAAGCCTCCAGCTATGTTGTCTATGCCCCCCAGTGAGGTTAGCAGTGCTGGCTGTGTGCCCGGACAAGAGCTGCAGGCAAGATCAAGCAGCTGAGGGATAAGGAGCCAGGGGAAGGCAAGGAAGGGGGGAGAGTTTCACCTACCTTGTCTCTTCTCTAAACTCCCCTCTCCTTGACAGGCCCTTCTGTGGAGCTGAGCTGCAATATGTGTAGGATGGCTGCCACATATGCATGTAATGTGGACAGTGCAATATGTTGGTAGAGCTTTGTGTGAGTGTGGCTTGAGTGTGGGTGAGGACATAGGGGCCATATGAACTCCTATTGCCTGAGAGTTGTCAGTCTGCCCTGGTCCAATACCAAAAAACCAATAATGTGTAAAACAGAAAATAGAAAAAGTGCAAAGTCCCAAATATAACTCCCAATAGCAGAAGAAGTGCATGTTTGCTTTACAGACATGATTAAAACAACCGTGCTTTCCACCACATGGTTACTCAATCTGCTCACCTCATGATTTGACCCCTAAAGGGGGCACGTATCCATTTTGGTACAGAGTGATTCATGCTTTATTTGACCTCAGAATGATATAGAGTTCAAATCATAAGGTGAGAAGATTAAGTAACCATGTGGTGGAGAGCACGTTTGTTTTAATGAAGTCTGAAAAGAAGGTATGAGAGAGTAAATGTGCACTTCTTCTGGCATCAGGAGTCACATTTGGGATGTTGGATGTTTACTATTTTCTTTATGTTACAGATTATTGTTTTTTTGGTGTTGGATGATACTGTATGTACAATATTGCTGATTGCAAGTCACGATTGATGCAATATTCTTTTAAAGCTGTCTTCTGAAAACTAAAAATTCCCCTCTCCACCATGTAATGAAAATAGAGGATGAGCTATTTACAGTCTAGATCATAAGAGCAGCCTGAGTTGGAACTATAACTCCCTCCTTAGATACAGTGGAGGAGTGAGTGTTGTCACTTTAGAACAGGAAGTACCGTATATTACTGGCAGGATCTTCAAGTGAAAAGCAAGAAAAAGGCTTGAAAAATGAACACTAGTGTAATTCAATGCCAACACATCTAATGAGTAGTGAGCTGCAATATAGTACATTTTTGTTTACATTTAGATACATTTAATGTTATGGAGAGGTGCTTGACATGTAAGAAAATAAAAATGCATTATTTGAAAAATATTTTTAGATTGCGCTGCAATGTTTAGCAGCTTCCCGACCGCCCTATAGCAGAACTACTGCTACAGGGCGACAGGGCTGCACAAAATCACACACACACACACACACATATATATATATATATATATATATATATATATATATACATACAGTATATATATATATATATATAAATATATATGTGATCTTACATTTCCAAATAAGGGGCGCACGTGCTTAGCGCTGTCCTGCCCACTCCGCCATTGGCAGCTACAGCTGTCGATCACCGGTCCCGGCTGGAGATTCCCTGCCGGCACCCAGCGATCACCAAGGAACACCAAAAGGGGAGAGGTCTGTATGTAAACAACACAGATCTCTCCCGTCAGCACCAGCATGCTGCTTTGTATTGCTCTGCATAGCATAGCAGAGCAATACAAAGCAGCATGCTTACATAGTAAAACACACACAGCACACATAGTAAAACAGCACACAGTGAACCCTATGATTGCCCCAAATGTTAACCCCTTCCTGCCCAGTGTCATTAGTACAGTGTCAGTGCTTTTTATTAGCACTGATCACAGTATTAGTGTCACTGGGATGTCAGTGGCAGTTAGTCAGTTCCCCCCAGTGTCAGAATGCCAAACGCAGTCCCGCAGTCCCGCAGTCCCACTATAAGTCGCTGATCTAGTATAAAAAAAAGCACTAGTCTCATTACTAGTATAGAAAAAATAAAACAAAAAATCCTAGTATATATACCGCCATTTGTAAATGCTATGACTTTCACATAAACCAATTAATTTACACATATTGGGTTTTTGTTTAGCAAAGACATGTAGCAGAATACATTTTGGCCTAAATTTATGACGAAATTTGATTTCTTACATTTTATTACTGGATGTTTTATAGCAAAAAGATAAAAATATTGTTTTTTTTAATTGTCAGTCTTTTTTTGTTTATAGAGCAAAAAAAAAAAATGCAGAGGTGATCAAATACCACCAAAAGAATGCTCACCTAGAATGGGGCTGTAAAGTCCAACAGTTCTGGGTCCTCTCCCCCAGTTTGTGGGGAAAAAAAGACATACATTTCATTTGGATGCAGCATTGCATGACCGCACAATTGTCAGTTAAAGTAATGCAGGGCCGTATCGCAAAAAAATGGCCTGGTCAGGAATTGGGGTAAATCCTCTGGAGGGCACATGGTTAAAGGAAAACCTTCTATAAATATTATGTTAAATTGATGAGCTTAAAGCTGTTCTCCAAACTGAACCAGTCCCCCGCAGCACCTCTTCATAACAAGTTGTTCTCAGTCCTCTAGGTTGAAAGACACCCAAAATCACTTAACCCAGAAGATTACTGTGAGTGCAGGGTGTTATTGCCTTGCCCTTTGTCAAAGCATTAGTCTTTTATTTACAGTGTACTGGTGCAGGGGCCATGCAGATGTTATCATCATCAGCCCTGTTCTCTGCTTCATTGAAAACCAAGCAGCCTAGAAACGAGTAAAAGAGGACCTGGGGCATCATGTGACTGGTCTAACGAATATGGAAGAGGTGATTATTAAAACACAAAAAGATTAAAATGCTGCCAGTCTGGACCACAAGAGGGGGCGAAACTGGGGGAGAGGACCAAGAACTGTTGGACTTTACAGCCCCATTCTAGGTGAAAATTATTTTTCCCCAACCCACTGTAATCCATCCTGCTAGGCATCCCCACCTCTTACCTTCTGAAGTCAGATATACTCACCTAAGTCCCCCTTCCAGGTTCCGGTTGTGGGTGGTCCAGGGACCACAAATCTAGCAGTGTGAATGCAGCCCAACATGACTGGTCCAGTACTGTCCCTCTATGATGACATTTCCTCTTCTGGATTCTAAGAGGTCCCCACCACTGGAAACCAATAGGAAGTGTCCATGTCATGCAGGCACTGACAAGGACACCTAAAGAAGGACCCAAGCAGAAAGTAGACTGAAGGGAAGATCACTTAGGGTGTGTCCTCACATGACCATGGGTTAAAGACATTGATCTTGGAGTGAAACTTTAATGTTAAGGATCTCAATGTTGAGTTTTAATATTCAAATGATAAGTGTAAAGTGAGATGAAATAATATGAAAGTTCAGCAAAGAAATGTAAAGCCATACCTGGTTTATTAAGGTGAAGTGACTGAAGTGCGCTAAGCTGTACTGAAAACCAAATTAAAGTAAACTCCCACTGGACACTTGTACCTACAGTTAATCTTATAATAAAGTTTACCGGTAGGTACAAGGAATATCTCATAAACATGCACCGTTTAGGAGATGTTCAGTGTCCCTGCAGCCAGTGACATCACCTGCACATGTGCTTTGTAGGAACAGCATACCCGTGCTGTTCCTTCAGATCTCTGTGCTGCGGGCGCGGGAGCTGCGTCATCGCAGCTTGGCCAGTTAAGAGACCAGAGCCTGCGAACCCGGAAGGAAGACTGTGTGAAGATAGAAGCCCGGCCAGTGGTGACAGCACGCCGCTGGGGGGCTTTGTTCTAAGGTTAGAACTTGCATACTAGCACATTATGACATTACCTAGCAGTGAGATTTTTTTTTTCTTATTCAACTTTACTACCACTTCAAACACTTCAAGCACCCAATCCGATGTAGGGGAATTTAAAAAGAATAGATCATTCTCCACTTTGATATGAACACAAAAGTAATATTACTTTACATATTACAAAATCGTGCCAGGCTCACTGGTTTCCCCATGATGCATATCCTACTTCTCATTTTAGCCAATCAGGATTTTTAAGTCAAGGCTGGCCTAAATTAAATGGACTTTTTATCTAAATCAGTTTATTTTAAATGACTAGAGTTTTGGAGGACATCAGAAAACAGGAGGTGAGTATTTGAGACCTCATTCACGCTATACCTAACCTATCAGAAACAGTGTAACACACCAACCCCCCACTGCTGGTACACACCAGACACCACCCGCAGAGTAAAACATATCAAAAATAGCTGCATTCTTTACGTTTTAAGCTGCTTATTTATATTACTATTTGGTACTACAACTTTAATCTGAGAGAGCACTTCTGATATATAGCTGACTACTAAAGGGTGCATTTACACACCTGTTTATGTCATAAAATAACTCTAACATGGAAAAGCAAGCAAGTACAAATGTGAAACATCTGGTAATTATTCTGAGTCTGATGCTATAGTAATAATAACTTAAATGGAAATATATTGAAAATATACTATTAGAAACATGTAGAAAGGTTAACAAGCTCTAGTCCCATTTCCAATTCCAGTTAAGGGTTATAGAATTCCTTTCAAAACAAAGAAAACAGACCACATGGGGGCAGTATGGTTTGTCATTATGCATTCAGGTCATCAGACTGTACCAAAGATGGTTAAGATGCATGAGTGGCGAAAGCTACTTCCTCTAGTTTATGAATAAAGATCCTACCCATTGAAAAACAGGTGCATTCAGTCAAGGCCATGGTCACAATGCAGTTACCTCACTGCAATTATCTCAGTTTGGTTAATTAATTTATTCTCATGATCATGTCAATCTATTGCAAACATGTATCCCTCATTAGTCATGTGCACATAGGAAATTGTTGTTTCATTTTGAATGCATTCAGTCACTGAATAATTTAGTTTTGTCATATTAGTTATGCTGACCTGACTCATTTAAGGAATTTGTTTCATATCGGCTGTAGTAATTTCATATATTTGTTGGTCCGAGTGGATTCGAAAAATTTAGCAGTTTTTCTGGAAGATTGCTATATATTCAATATATTATTGAATCGGACAGATTCGTATTGGAAAGATGCCATTTTTTACGATGCTAGTCCAACTCACCAAGAGAAATGGCATGAGCTGATTGGCAGGGGTATATTTACCACAAGGCAAACAAGGCATTTGCCTAGGGCAGCATTTTTCAGGGGGGCAGCACTGCCTTTCGGAAGAAGGGACACATGCGGCATGGAGACCTGGTGGGTTCCAAGAGAGGTTGCAGGTTTCATGACGGTGTATGCACAGCCTGACTCTTGTTCTCAGGGATATCTGGAACTGTATAGGTGAGTGTCTTTCTTTCTCTCGCCATGGGGGATGGTGACTGGTGTTTGAGGGGCAGTGGTAGTGGAAGGGTCTCTCGGTGGGAGTCAGGGGTGTTGTTGGTCAATGTCAAGCTCTCTTTCCGTGGGGCGCCGATCTTTGTGTTACCTAAGGTCAGGGGCGGACTGACCATTTGGGAACTCGGGCAGTGCCTGAGGGCCTGGGGTCAGTAGGGGCCCCATGAGATGCCCATAGTTCCTTTCATAGGCTTTTTTGGGTGTGGTTTGAGTATGGGTGAGGACACAGGGGCCCCATGATCCCCTATTGCCTGGGGGGCCCCATAAGTTGTCAGTCCGCCCCTGCCTAGGGTAGTACAAAACCCAAATACACAACTGCTGATTGGACAATATCTACTGGCATCATGTGCATCCGAATTAATGAATGGAATGAAATTCAGATCCATTCATGATCTGAATCCGAATTATCGCCCACGTTTAAAAAATTTAATTCCCTTCCCAATGAGCCCAGTCTACTATTGCATCATGTTACGTCATTAGAATTAAACAAATGAAACAAATGCATTTGTTAATTTCGTTAGAACTCCTTTTTTCGGATCCATTGATATTTGTTACTATATCCATTTGGAGATTTTGGATACATCCAAATCTTTGAAAATGAAATTTTCATTTGGAAAACGAAATTAAAAGAAACACACGTTTATTCCTCATAAATCAGAGTTTTTTCATGAAACATAATTTTATCTCCTTCGTACCCCTGAAGATGTGCATGCACACAAAACTTGTCAGGTGGAGCCGCACTTGCTGAAGTCACGCCGCCATTGCCGAAGGTCGGAATGGCAGCCATCTTGGTACTTCATTTACCCTTATTTTATCTGTTCTCCACACGGATTGATTTTACTATTTAATAAAATTACTACACTATATACAATTGCTGGCTCCTGCATTTTGCCCTTGGCTGAACATCCTATACAGAGGCGTCATTGCTGGTTCCTATGTCCAGATGAGATGTGCTTATGTGCTGTTTACCAGTAGATGTCTGGTGAGTGTACATCTGACTGAGGTGGTGGATTCGCTATTGGATCACTTCACAGTGTTTCACCGTGATTGTCATACTTACAGTATATTCTCACAGACAATTTTAGCTTTTAGTGCTTACTTCACTGATACTTTTATGGACTTTATTTATTCCCACCTTATATACTGCACTTTACTGTTCCACACTTATTGAATGATTTATTGATATTCATATGTGATTTCATATGCTGCACTTGGCTGTTCCGCTGATTATTTTTGTCATTTTGTCATATTGGCACTGCACTTTACTATTTCACTACAATAGCATTTATTTATTTAACGCTGCATTTTTTATATTTTATATCATTTTATCTCCACCTCCGATGGCTTCTTTATCTGCTTTCTTCATAGACAACTCATAGAACCTCACAATACCAGACAGGAACTTGAGCTGTTAAAGCTGAACTCCAGTCTTATCTTCAGTCTTGTACAGTTGCAC